CTGAGACCCCCAATTCCTGAGGGATCCAATTCCTGAGGGGCTGAGACCCCCAAATCCTGAGGGATCAGAGCCCTGAGACTCCCAATTTTTGAGGGATAAGAGCCCTGAGACCCCCAATTCCTGAGGGATCCAATTCCTGCAATCCCCAATTCCTGGGGGATCAGAGCCTTGAGACCCCAAATTCCTGAGGGATCTGAGCCTTGAGACTCCCAATTTTTGAGGATTCTGAACCCTGAGACCCCCAATTCCTGAGATTTCCCAACTTTGAGACCCCCAGTTCCTGGGATGAGAGCCCTGAGACCCCCAATTCCTGAGGGATCCAGTTCCTGAGGGAGCCAAGACTCCCAATTCCTGGGGGATCCAATTCCTGAGACCCCCAATTCCTGAGGGATCAGAGCCCTGAGACCCCCAGTTCCTGAGGGGGCTGAGACTCCCAATTCCTGGGGGATCCAAGCCCTGAGACCCCAAATTCCTGAGGGATCAGAGCCTTGAGACCCCCAAATCCTCAGGGATCTGAGCCCTGAGACCCCCAATTCCTGAGGGATCCAATTCCTGAGGGGCTGAGACCCCCAATTCCTGAGGGATCCAATTCCTGAGACCCCAAATTCCTGAGGGATCTGAGCCCTGAGACCCCCAATTCCTGAGGGATCCAAACCCTCAGACCCCAAATTCCTGAAGGATTCCAATTCCTGAGGGGCTGAGACTCCAATTCCTGGGGGATCCAATTCCTGAGACCCCCAAATCTTGAGGGATCCGAGCCCTGAGACCCCAAATTCCTGAAGATTCCGAGCCCTGAGAGGCCCAAATCCTGAGGGATTCCAATTCCTGAGGGGTCTGAGACCCCCAATTCCTGTGGGATCTGAGCCCTGAGACCCCAAATCCTGAGGGATCTGAGACCCCCAAATCCTGAGGGATCCAATTCCTGAGGGATCTAATTCCTGAGGGATCCAATTCCTGAGACCTCAATTCCTGAGACCTCAATTCCTGAGGGATCCAAGTTTTTTTTTCCTGGGATGAGTTTGAACCCAAAGTGGATCTCCCAGAGCTTTTCCTGAGGGAATTTGGCTGGGAAAGGTGGGAAAAGCTGGGAACGA